AGGGAAGGATAGAAAACTGGACAGGTTGATAGATGGATGGAAGGAAGGATGGAAGGATGGATGAATAGATGGCTAAATGAAGAGTAGGACTCACCTTCTCTCGTATCCCATGCACCAGTTCTGTCCTAGGCAGCCTTGCTTCCAGACCTTGACCATGCGTGTGAAGGCCTGCACACACGGCTGCCTTTGGGCAACCAGCGTCACATCCCGCTCCGCACACACATTGGGCCTGAAAGAGGCCAGTGGCAAAAAACATTGAACAAATCAATATTCTGTCATATTCTGTCTTTTTTTTGGTTTACAGTAAGAGGGTGTTATGAAGCATGAACCAGTGAAGATAAATGGACAAGGATTCCATAAGGGTTAACACTGTGTAGTGCTGCCTATGCTGTCTGCTAAGACTTAATTGGAATTCTTCATGCATTACTGTTTGACCCCTAAGCAGGGCAGCACAAGACACTGCCTGCAGCAAGAAATCAATCAAACATTGACTAAGACTTTACCTGATACTACAGTATGTCAAAACATTGACCAAAGGAGAGCAGAATAACAAGATCATACAAACTGATTGGATCTCTTGTTATTGAGTTGTATAAGCCAGGTGCTATCAGAGTGTCATAGATCCCATCATACCATTATTCCCTGCATTGTAGTCTCTAAGACCATCTCAAGGTGCCATACTATCCCTTTAACATTAAGCAATGTTTTGGTACCTCTCCAGTTGCAGTAACTGCAGTACGTCTGAGAGAAGTCTCATCATTTACGAGTAGCTCAGTCATTCCATGTCCAAGCTTGTCTCATCTCTGGGATAGTATGTATGTCTGATAGGTCTATGATAATTTTCAGTTTGTGATGCTGATTTGCCCAAGAATGGCAATGGTCTTACGGCAATGGTCCCTCTGAGAAAATTCCCATTATTTCTCACTATCTGACATTGACAGGGCCATTACAACTGAATAGAGACTTATCATGAAGTCAGACTTATCAGAGGCCCCTCATCTCGGACTTATCTCACCTGTTACTCTGGAATGCTCTCCATTATAGGGAAAACTTAGGAGCATCTCAGGAATGCTTCCTGCATCATTAATCCACCCGGAGATCATGTGTAATTATGTAATAACATTACAGTGCATTTTGAGAAAGAAAGTAGAGTATTCTTATGAGAACACCATCATAGCTCCAGGTGCATACCTTTCTGAGAAATGTATAAAATACAGCCTTAGAGTTAACAGTGCTTGTTGTCTGTGTCGTTTTAACTACAGGTTTATACATGCCCAGGTGTAGAACACATGTTTCTCCTTTCAATGCAAACACCTCTAGAGTAAAACATTAAATACTGAAATTGATTAATTGATAAACAAATATCATATTTCAACTTGTGAAAGTTTTAAAATAATCATATTAACCGGTATTTGACATGTCAACAGATATTGGATTCTGGTTATATGGTTTTAAGCTCAAATTAATAGCAGTAGCAGTAGCAAGTGACATGACTCTTACCAGAAATGTTTTGTCATTTAAGTTACTGTGACAAAAAAAAATTATTATCATGCAAAAATGACAGTTTATAAAAAAATACTTACATATATGGTTGGAGATTTCCATAGCTGGACACTGCGTAAATCCCATCGATAAGTAAGTATTGACAAAGTATTGAAACGAAGATAAAATCCATTTTCAAGTTGTGTTGAATGTTTCAATATATATGCATTAAAGTGTAGAAATGTAGTGGTATTGACACGTTTTAGCGAAAAAATACAGAATCACAAGAAATCCGTAGTCAAATTACTGGGAAAATTTTTGAAAGTAGGTTTCACTGTTACACTAAAAAAGTTAAACCAGAGAGTGAGAAGAGTCAGTCCCACACCTTCTAATTCCAAAAGTGATGCAGTCATACATCCCGTAGAGAGTGGTGCTTGGAGATCGTTCCTCACTGGCTTACAACATGCAGATGTTGAACGCACATGCGTGCGCAATGGCTTATTGCTGCTGAGTAAATCGAAGCAGCCTGGTCTCATAGACTAGACGTAACATAGTTACTAAATCTGCGACATCGATATTACTATGATATATTATGTTTGGTATGGTTACATAAGACAGTAACATAAGGTTACTTAAGACTAAAACGAAAGTATGGTATTTGGTCGGGATGGGTGTGTGGGTGGATATCATCAAGGACAATTTCAGCATTTTAGCTAATTACCAACTACTTACTACTTTTTAGCTACTTTGCAACTATTTAGAATTTTAGCTAACCCTTCCCCTAACCTAACTCCTAACCCTAACCTTAACCCCATAGCCTAGCTAACATTAGCGTTACACTAACGTTAGCCACAACAAATTGGAATTCGTAACATTTAATACTAATTGTATTTCGTAACGTATCATACTAATTGGAGTGTCCCGGATTTACATTTACTATGTTATGTCTACCCCTGAATCCAGATTGTTCGAAGAGATAATGGATCATTTCAATGGAATAGATTGGGACAATAACAGAGAGGTTAGCTTTTTTCCCCCAAATGTCCTGGTGTTGTAACATGTAACACGGCGGGATGTAGCTCAGTTGGTAGAGCATGGCGTTTGCAACGCCAGGGTTGTGGGTTCGCTTCCCACGGGGGGTATAAAAAATAATGTATGCACTAACTGTAAGTCGCTCTGGATAAGAGTGTCTGCTAAATGTAAATGTAAATGTAATGTTGTAAGTTAAAACGGTGTTATTTTCTTCAGATATAGCCTACTCATGTGAATTGATGTGAGGGCCCCTTAGGCTACAATAAAACAATTCGTTCTAGGCCATTCATTTCTAGACTCTATATGCCTATATATGCCAGCAATGGCAGCAGGTAGATCAACCAGTCATTTCAGACATACAACATCAATCAATCAAATTGTATTTATAAAGCCCTTTTTACATCAGCAGATGTCACAAAGTGCTTATACAGAAACCCAGCCTAAAACCCCAAACAGCAAGCAATGCAGATGTAGAAGCACGGTGGCTAGGACAAACTCCCTAGAAAGGCAGAAACCTAGGAAGAAACCTAGAGAGGAACCAGGCTCTGAGGGGTGGCCAGTCCCCTTCTGTCTGTGCTGGGTGGAGATTATAACAGTACATGGCCATTAAGGCCAGATTTTTCTCCAAGATGTTCAAACGTTCATAGATGACCAGCAGGTTTCAAATAATAATCACAGTGGTTGTAGAGGTTGCAATAGGTCAGTACATCTTGAGTAAATGTCATTTGGCTTTTCATAGCCGGGCATTTAGAGGTTGAAATAGCAGGTGCGGTCGAGAGAGAGAGTTGAAAACAGCAGGTCTGGGACAAGGTATCATGTCCAGTGAACAGGTCAGGGTTCCATAGCCGCAGGCAGAAGAGTGGAAACTGGAGCAGCAGCACGACCAGGTGGACTGGGGACAGCAAGGAGTCATCAGGCCAGGTAGTCCTGAGGCATGGTCCTAGGGCTCAGGTCCTCCGGGATGGGAGGGATTTGTCACATCTTAATGACATATCAGAACAGACCAGTTTTCAATTCAGGGGCAATGTGTTATTGGTATCCACTGCTGCCTAATCCTACCAAAAGAGGAACCTATAGTTGCAATAGAGCAGAGAGAGTTATGGAGGAAGACTATGGGTGGTCAAGCTGCACAGGTCAGTGTGTAGGGCACAGCTGATGCTGCCTGTGGTCAGACGGGTCAGAGTTATTGCTGCTCTCCATCTATTCTAATGACTGAAGGCCAAGAGGGTCAATACCAGCCATGGTCTAATTACCACTGCAATGGGTCAAATGGATACACACACAGGGGCCATGGATTGTTCTGCAATAGTTAGGCCTACACATAATTTGAAGACATTCTCCTGACGTAATTGGTATTTTTGCAGGGGTATTTCAATTTGAAATAGCCTACCAAATTAAATATTAAAATAATATTATTATTAGAACTTACTGTTTTAGTCATTGTGTTTCCATCTGTCTCAGTGAGAGCTGGGAGAAAATAAATGTGTGTGTGGGATTATCCCACTTTTTATTTGATTTTGTATTATCCCTTGTCTTGATACAGTGAAAGAGAATGCTCTTATAGGCCTAATAGTTACTTACTGTCTTGTTAGTGCTGACTTCTGTTGACAAGAAAGTGACACAAGGGCACAGAGTATTCCACATGCATAGGCCATGAATCTGCAAGCATGCTGAAGTCCTCACATTGACATCAACATTAGAGGACTATGTGATTTATTTGGTTAACAGTGTAGCCCATTCAGATGACAGGTTGAGACGAATGTAGGAAAGTATGTGAGGGGTACAAGAGGTGTTTCCCTAATAAAGGCGAAGCTGTAACAGTTAGGATAGTTATAGGCCTACTTTATAAAGGATTTATTAAGGGTATGCCTATAAGTAGTTTATACACGTTTAATTATTAGTTTATAGATAGTTTTAAAATCTGTTAAACAGTAACACATTGTTGAATTTGGTTCTTGCCATGTAGCCTATGTTATGTAAGTTATGTTGCTATTGTAGCGAATTCGGGGGGCAGCCCTTACCGGGACTCAAACCCGGGTCCAGCGACTGTCAAACTAACACCTTAACCATTACGCCAAGAGGTCCGAACCTCTTGAGGAGGTCGCTAGGTGTTGGGTTAAGGTCGAAACTGTATTTAGGGAGAAGATCAATTCAAGTCATTGATGAAGTTCTGAATTATACTTCAGTGGAATCTGTTGTAGTTTGCTGACATCATCTGGTTGAAATGAGAACTGCACTAGGGACCACGCTGTCCCTAGTGCAGGAATTCAAATTATTGACAGGACTCCGAACCTGGAAATCTTTGTCGGACGGAGGTAACTGAACTCTTCACTGTACTCCCTCCTCCAAATATGAACCAATTATGTTTGTGACAGTCGGGTTCCCATTTTACGTACACAAAAGCGTTTGCTAACTTTGACACACTCCCCTACTGCTCTGCTTGCGCGTCCTTTGACCTGTGCTCAGCTGACACAACGCGGTTTATTATGCTTTGGGGAGCAAGAGTAGGCCTGTGTGGACTTCACCAAAGACTCGCTTCAGGATCCAAGTATTTACCGCCGATTGTTTATCATCATCGCAACATGTCTTCGACCGGATCAACACAGTTGAAACGCCCGATTTCGCTACTGGGATCGATGGCGTTTGGGGGGCGTGCTGACGCTGAGACAAGCACAAACATGGTGAAAGCCTACTTGGAGCGCGGCCACAATGACTTGGACACTGCCTTCATGTACACAGACGGACAGGCAGAAACTATCATTGGGGGAATGAATCTACCCAAAACGGGTAACGAACACAGCTTTAATAGCCTACTGTCTAGTAAACTAACATTGTAAACAAAAGTAACATTATAATCTGAGTAGGCTATGTTGCACCACTGCTGCAAGTGTTTTTATTTCACCAGATGCCATGCATACTAGTAGTAATTGTAACTACAAATATGTGAGTGAGTGCATTAAAAGTTCAATCATACTGGTACATAATGTGTGCCCAGATGACAAAACTGCAAACTACAATGTTACAAACCACTGCTATATTACCAGTATGACTTCTTCTTACACATGTTATATGACCCAATTGGATCTTATCAGCCATGTTTGTGTTTATTGCCTGTATCTACAGTGAGCATTGCCACCAAGGCCAACCCCTGGGACGGAAAGACCCTGAAACCAGAGAGTGTGCGTTCCCAGCTAGACACCTCTCTGAAGAGGCTGCGTACACAGTGTGTGGACCTCTTCTACCTCCATGCTCCAGACCATCAGAACCCCATCCAGGACACACTGCAGGCCTGCCATGAGCTCCACGAAGAGGTACCGGCCCAGAGGGCAACCCTCCCCACACCCACCACGTAATACAAGCATATTTCACACCACCTGGCTCTTTTGTAGACATGGCATTTATTGCTATGTTGGTTTTCAGGGGAAATACAAGGAGCTTGGTTTATCAAACTATGCTGCATGGGAAGTGGCTGAAATCTTTACCATCTGCCGACACAACAACTGGATCCTTCCCACTGTTTATCAGGTAACACGCACAGAAAGTCTACATCTGTAATTTAACACACTGCCTTCGTTCAAAATAGATATTATTAAATAGTAACTATGTTCTAAATGCTGTTTATCATTTCCTTAACCATAACTGTGCCTTTCTGCAGGGAATGTACAATGCCACCACACGACAGGTGGAGACAGAGCTGCTACCATGTCTGAGATACTACGGCATCAGATTCTACGCATACAACCCTCTAGCAGGTACTGTGCATCTATATAACTATCTATAATGCCTTTAACATGACAAGATATTAAGAGTATCATAAATAATCTCAATGTCTAGTGTGAGAACCTGGTATAACATTCACTCAGCTCTTCTGTGCAACCAGGGGGCCTTCTCACAGGGAAGTACCATTATCAGGACAAAGAAGTTTCTCAGCCTTCAGGACGATTCTTTGGTAACAACTGGGCTGGTGCTTACAGAGACAGGTGAGATAACAGAAAATGGTTTTAATAAACTAGTATGGTCATAGTAGTTACAATAAAAACATGATTTGCCCAGATTACCTGTACACTAGATACAATTAAACATTACATTTGGATGATTTATGTGTTGTGTGTCAGGTACTGGAAGGAGAGCCACTTCCAGGCGATAGACCTTGTTCAGAAGGCCATGGAGACAGCATATGGCTCAGACAAACCCCCCATGACATCTGCTGCTCTACGCTGGATGTACCACCACTCCCACCTCAAGGTAACCGACCACATGCAATAATAAAAACAGGGACAACCCGCTAGGTCACTTTGGCTGCATTTACACAGGCAGCCTAATTCTGACCTTTTTCCACTAATTGGTCTTTTGACCAATCAGATCAGCTCTTTTGCCAATAATTGGGCAAAAGATCAGAATTGGGCTGCTGTGAAAACGCAGCCAATGATTACAAATCAAATGTTTTTTTATAATGTGAAAAGGATAATTGTCACTCAAAATGTCAGCAGTACTATTTAAACAATCTTAAACATAAGTTTAATAAAAAATAGTGTGTTGTATGTAGTGCTAATTGTTGGGTCCTCTTGTACCTGGGCTTTGTCTCCACTGTTCCAGGGTGATTTGGGAGATGGTGTCATCATTGGGATGTCCAGCATGGAGCAGCTAGAGCAAAACCTGTCTGCATCTGAGGAGGGGCCTCTGGATGAGCGTGTGGTGGAGGCCTTCAAACATGCCTGGGACCTGGTGGCCCATGAGTGCCCCAATTACTTCCGCTAGATGGCTCCTCAACAACCCTTGCTAGACTATATCCACTAACTCTTGCCATTTTACCAAATGTACCTTATACAATTTGCTAATTAACTAACATGTACAGTGAGATGTAGGTTTTACAAATAAGTCAGTTCGGTTATCAGATCGATGCTTTAGCGAAATTTTCATTTAAAAAAAAGGGTGCCGATTATGATTTTGGTCCTGTATATTATAATGGTGAACACTTCATGTAAATTCAATTAATTGAGTGGGGAGGTGTTTTCAGGAAACTTTTTCTGGAGGCTGTCTTGACTTTAATAAACTGGGGAACAATGGGACAGTATTTTTTCCCTCAATGATTATACACTGATCTGCCATGGCCGGTGCGTTGGTGACTAACTTTATGTGGGCCACGATTTTACAGCTTAAAGTTATACTTTGCATTAACACTTCCCACTGATTTTTTTTTGTGGGGTATGTTTTATAGGACACAACCAAGCATACTGTAAGTTTGTACTGTTGTATTTGATTTATAAAGCACAAAATGTATGTACACAATTCAATGGGTAACATTGCAACGAGGAAACACTTTAAAGTAGTTTATGTTTTGACGTCTCCTAAAAAGTATTCACAGTATTAAAAACAGTCTGAGAAGTCCATTGCTCTATCCAGATTCATTCCCCATCCCCTTCTTCCTCCTCTTTTTCATCGTTATCCCGCATGGCTTCTTCCTCCTCCTCTTCCTCAGCTAGCTTCTCAAAGTCGCTCGTTTCAGAGTTCCACATGCACTTGATCCGCACTCTGAATTCAGCCATCTCAATCCCAAAAAGTTTCTATGTAATGGAAAATAATTTAATTTGATTAGATAAGCCATTTATGGGACCATCTAGCAACTGGACTTGCAGAATCTCATAGGCCTATCAGAAGGTGTAGACTGGGGGAAAGGTTTAGAACTCACCAGAATACGGGCCTGTTCAGGGGTTAGTGTGTCTCCCTCTTTGCACACTTCATGGTCTTTCAGTAGCGTCACCACTCCTACGACAAAACAATGGGGTATAAAGCCAACAATTGCAACATGTATTCCTTCTCCTTTGGAATTAATCAAAAGAAAACCTTGGGTTGTTAGATCAGAAGTTGAAGTTTGTATCAGAAGCATAAAAAGTTAATTTGAAATAAACAAAACAGGGAGGTTAGGGACATCCTTTCATTACAGACTTACGAAAGCTTTCTCTGAACATCAGAGACAGGTTCTCACCTTTCTTGAGTGCTGTGGGGAGTCCCAACTGTCTCAGCTGTGGCTCCATGGAGTGAGGGAACTGTTCCAGGGGTCCTTCATCAAGTGTTATAGCCATCCCTGCCTTGTTTCCTGCTCGTGCAAAATCCATCTCTTTGAACTGGCTGAAATACCTGAAGAACATTTTTCAAGAGAAAAACAATTCATATGAAACTACCACGGAGGACAAGGAATAAGCCACAGCACTGGCTCATCACAAAATATTTACTCAATCTAATGATGGTACATTAATGGAAATGCAAGATATTGGTCTACTTACTCTTGTACCTCTTCCTTGGTTTTATTTGTGAACAACACACCCACTTCTCCTCTCAGAAACTTGCTGACCTACAAAATAAACAGACATACATTTACTGAACTCCTTGCAAAGTGTCATGCAATTTCCCTTCTTTTTTACTTTTTTTTTTTTTTTTAATACAAGACCCTCACTTTAGCACAGATTTTACATACCTTGTGCAAATTGTCTTTGTATTCGCTTGTTGATCCTTTACCTATAGCGATCATCATAACTTTGTTTTTGCCAAAAAAGAATCTGTGAAGGTGAAGAAAAACCTTACCTTATTGTCAAACTAACTAGTCAGTCAGCTACATGTATTTATACACATAACACGTTGGTGTCTGACAATTTGATTTGTCTTAATAATGACAACCAGGCTGCATAGGCTAGTGTGTTGAGTGTTCTTACCGACTGTGTTTCCAGGCTGTCCTGATGTCTTTCAATTTGTTGTTCCTCATGTTTGCCACAGAGAAGATGAACAGGTGCTTGTATATGTCCACACATTTCCGCAACTATAAAAGTCACGGACATACAAATACAAAACTATTAGTCAAAGTTTTAGCTGGATACCAATGTCAAGACCGGAAACAACTAACTAACTAGGATTGAATGGGCAGACAAAGTTACCTCTTCTATCAAGTTCTGTTTTGTTTCCAGACCCTTCTTGGCTGTTTTTGTTAGTGAAACTGAGGAGGAAGTGAAAAAGGAACACACTCAGGGTTAATACCTACAGGACAACAAAAAATGTTCAGCAATAGCTACATTTGTAAACATAATCAAGTTGCTAGCTAGTTATTAGCTTATGGTGCTAGCTAGCTACAGTATGTAGCTAACGTTAGCATCCTAGCTAGCTTGCGTGCTCCTCTTTCACCTCTTGATGCAATACATCCCCTGCAAATGCTTTAGTAGTGAACTACTACATCAAGTAATGCATTACGCCAAATTAGACTTAATATACTTTTAATGTACTGGATGAATCGGACATAAAAAACCTACTTTTCTTGTCCCTCTTTGACTTCGGCATGGTTCTCACGTTGTAGAGCAAGGCCTATTGAGGAAAACGACCCCACGTGTTTCTCTGCTGAATATAGCTGTCCAAAATATGCCTGACAATAATTCACTCTTCACTTGCATTTCCTGAGAGCATTTTCTGTTGCACCATTGAATTTAAATAAGATATTGAGTTTGATAATATAAATACGTTATTTAATTATCTTTATTAAACGTGTAGAAAAATGTGCTTCATGGACATGTCTCTTTTCCCCCAGCAGATGGAACCCTGCAAACATAAGACGGCACAAATAAGTGCTATAACAAGGCAAACATAATAAAGCCATTAGAAGTTAGTATGGTGTGACAGAAATAATGATTTTCTTCTTTATTCTATGGAGTTTTCTGTTGAGTGTCAATACTGTAGCTAACTCTTTTGCAGAATTAATTGAATTAAAATTGACAGCAGTGTCCCTTGAGTGAGATGTCTGTGGCATGTGCTTCTCTAAAATGTGATTCAATGTAGGCTAGTTAATCAACTTGTACTGCTTTAACAGACATATGGATACTGTGATAGAACCATCTATGTGGGTGTTGCCTGCTGGGTTTTGTAATAATTCTCTATGCCAGATGAGTGTATGGACATCACATGTATCAGTTCTTCAAGTCCTTCAAGAATTACTGTGTTGATTTGTATTAGGCTTAAAACTATGAATCCCCATCACCCATGCTTATATCTGTGAACCTGAAGTGAGAAATGCAGTGGCAAGAGATGAAATCCCAGATAGACAAATTACACCCGTATCCACAAAGCGTCTCAGGGTAGGAGTGCTGATCCAGGTCAGGACCCGTTTTTCACTTTTAGATCATAATGAATGCGAATATATGGATAGATCCTATATTACACCTATGTGCGAATGCTGTTCATTGACTACAGCTCAGTGTTCAACAGCATATTCCCCTCCAAGCTTATCACCAAGCTCAGAACTCTAGGTGAAAACATCTCCCTCTGTTGTTGTCATGTGTTGCTACCATGCTGTGTTGTTGTCTTAGGTCTCTCTTTATGTAGTGTTGTGGTGTCTCTCTTGTCGTGATGTGTGTTTTGTCCTATATATAGTGGCTTGCGAAAGTATTCACCCCCCTTGGCATTTCTCCTATTTTGTTGCCTTACAACCTGGAATTAAAATGGATTTTTTGGGGGTTTGTATCATTTGATTTACACAACATGCCTACCACTTTGATGCAGAAAACATGCCTACCACAAAAAACTTGAGTGTGCATAACTATTCACCCAAACATAGCGTTTTCCAAAAAGCTCAATTTTAGTCTCATCTGACCATAGTACCTTCTTCCATATGTTTGGGGAGTCTCCCACATGCCTTTTGGCGAACACCAAATGTATTTGCTTATTTTTTTCTTTAAGCAATGGCTTTTTTCTGGCCACTCCTCTGTAAAGCCCAGCTCTGTGGAGTGTACTGCTTAAAGTGGTCCTATGGACAGATACTCCAATCTCCGCTGTGGAACTTTGCAGCTCCTTCAGGGTTATCTTTGGTCTCTTTGTTGCCTCTCTGATTAATGCCCTCCTTGCCTGGTCTGTGAGTTTTGGTGGGCTGCCCTCTCTTGGCAGGTTTGTTGTGGTGCAATATTCTTTCCATTTTTTAATAATGGATTTAATGGTGCTCCGTGGGATGTTCAAAGTTTCTGATATTTTTTTATAACCCAACCCTGATCTGTACTTCTCCACAACTTTGTCCCTGACCTGTTTGGCGAGCTCCTTGGTCTTCATGGTGCCGCTTGCTTGGTGGTGCCCCTTGCTTAGTGGTGTTGCAGACTCTGGGGCCTTTCAGAACAGGTGTATATATACTGAGATCATGTGACACATAGATTGCACACAGGTGGACTTTATTTAACTAATTATGTGACTTCTGAAGGTAATTGGTTGCACCAGATCTTATTTAGGGGCTTCATAGCAAAGGGGGTGAATACATATGCACGCACCACTTTTCCGTTATTTATTTTGTATAATTTTTTGAAACAAGTTATTTTTTTCATTTCACTTCACCAATTCGGACTATTTTGTGTATGTCCATTACATGAAATCCAAATAAAAATCAATTTAAATTACAGGATGTAATGCAACAAAATTGGAAAAACGGCAAGGAGGATGAATACTTTTGCAAGGCACTGTATATATATATATTTAAATCCAAGCCCCCCGTCCCGCAGGAGGCCTTTTGCCTTTTGGTAGGCCGTCATTGTAAATAAGAATTTGTTCTTAACTGACTTGCCTAGTTAAATAAAGGTTAAATAAAAATACAAATACAAAAATGTGTGAAAAATGTTGATATCAGTCCCATTGCTTAAATGGGATTTGGGTGAACTATTCCTTTAATTTTTTCCTTTTATAATGTATTTTAATAACTTTTTGGTGCTTGTGTAGGCTACCAGTCCAGACAAAATATTAAATGGTTTTAGAAGATCCGGATGTCAGCTTTATGTCTTACTCAGATTATTCAATATTCAGTTGTAATCATCATTATCCTGTGAAAAGATGCATAAAGGATGCTGTCTTTGTCTCACACATTTGGCAGACTTTGACCCTCTATAGATGCGAATCATGTTCAAGGGAAGCTTTAAAATATCACAATGCATTTCCTCTCAATCATGATATTGTTCTTTCACACAGGCCTAAGGGGAAATAGTAAATGATGGGTGTAGCAGTTATAGATTCCTTCTATATAAAAATAAATGTGAAATGAAAATCAAATTGTATTTGTCACGCTTTGTAAACAACAGGAGTAGACTAACAGTGAAATGCTTACTTACGGGTCCTTTTCCAACAATGCAGAGTTAAAGATAAAGATAAAAAATCTAATATATAAATAGTGACACTAGGAATAAATCCACAGTGAATAACGAATAACAATAAAGAGTAAAAATAACATGGCTATATACAGGGAGTACTAATACCGAGTCGATATGCAGGGGTACGAGGTAATTGAGGTAGCTATGTGCATATAGGTAGGGATAAAGTGACTAAGCAACAGGATAGATAATAGACAGCTGTAGCAGCAGCATATGTAGTGTGTGTCTGCCTATTTCAAGACCCGGCATATGGGGGTGTAGTGAGATACCCAATGGGCTGAACGATTCTCTTCTCATCACTCATCTTGAAAAAACGTATACTAAAAACGTAGAAATCAATCCGCCATCATTAACACAATAGAAAAATCCAATGACTTATTATTTAAAAGGGAATAGCATGGGCGACCGAGAAAAACACATTGCTACAATTTAAGGCCAAGTGGCAAACAATAATGCAGGCACTAGGGATGGGGTGTGTGAGCATGCGGGTCTGGGCAGATGCGATGTAGTCTATGTTTGTGTGCATCTGTAAATTGTTGTTCGTATGTATAAGTTTGTATCTGGAGTTTAAAAAAAAAATTGTTCTAAACACTTCTACATGAATGTGGATGCTACCATGATTACGGACAGTCCTGAATGAATCGTGAATAATGATGAGTGACAAAGTTACAGAAGCACAAATATCATACCCCCAAGCAGTGGCGGCTCCTGAAAAAATTCTCAGGGGGGGCAATTTTTCTGATGATTTAGGTGACCTACACACATTTAAAAAAGATATGTCCAGCAACAACATGAAGACAGGGGCAGCATATAAGTCAATACCAGAAGCATTTATTGACTGATCTCAAAAGTGTTGGCTTACAAAAGCAAAATAAGTTATCACAGTAAAAATAATCAAGGGTGTTCTTTCACATTCCTCAACACTGCATAAACAATATGCATTTCCATAAAACACCTCATCTAATTGTGCCACAAAGTTGACAAGTCCAAGAAAAATACCAGGGTTGGTGGAGCCCTCAGTTTCATCTTTGCCTCGCAAAGCTAACTCAAACACTCCGCAAAACTTCACACACTGTATTAACCGGCTGAGGATGTGGCGGTTCTTGCTAACCTCATCGTTGTGGCGGCGGACAGCTAGCCTGTATCCCTCATCCAGTTGAGTGGCAATGTTCACTCTCCCCAAAGCAGACAATCTCAAACACCTATCCATGTGGGTCTTTGACAGCTCATGTTTCTTAATCTTTTCTGAAAGATGGTGCATGTCCGTTACACCAGTCGCTGTCCAAGCGGTGCTGTCTGCCGTGCCGCCTTCAGGGTGAAAGAGTAAGCAGGGGTAGTAGAAGACTGCATTAGCTACATCGCAGCCTGCTAGCCAGGTTTTTCGTTCGTACCAATTTTTGGAAAATCCTCGGGTGTAGGACTTTCCCCCTTTAGTAGAAACCTGTTGAATTATTAAATTTGGTCTGGGAGGTCCTAATTGTTTCGTTGCCAATTTATCTTGATTTGTTCGCCGACAAAAATGAACTTCTTTCAAAGAGACAATCGAGTTGCACTGAACGCTAGCCATCTTGACAGTAGTACGTGAATTGATTGACGCTGCTACCCGCTCTTTTCTTAGTTACGTTCATGGTTATGTTACGTATGACGAAAGCGCGTAAGTGCAAGCCCTCCCGGAACCCATAGAGATTGTATTGAAAGCTCTGATACAGAGTCTATGAGAGACTTCTGGGGCGATTTTCAACCTGACTGAAATCGCCCCAAAAGGGGCGGGGCCATTTGAAGCACGACTTTAGCCTGATTGGACATTTAGTGGCAGATCAGACGTCTAGATTAGAACACTGATAACTACTGTTGCCGTGATATAATTGATTAGAAAAAAAATCCCTTCCTTTTCCTGTTTGGCAGTGCGTCGCCCATATCGCCCTAATGAACACACCGCCCCTGCCCCCAAGACATGCTAACCTCTCACCATTACAATAACAGGGGAGGTTAGCAGTTTTTGGGGGGTATGATATTTGTGCATCTGTAACTTTCTCACTCATCATTATTCATGATTCAATCAGCACTATCTGTAATCATGGTAGCATCCACGTTAATGTAGAAGTGTTTAGAAACATATTATTTTCTTATTTACAATAAAAATGACTCCAAAATAGGATACATTATTTACCATTCATTTCTATTGGGCACATAATAATCTGAAACCCAACC